GATTTGGAGTTTGCAGGAGCTCCAAGGAGAGCGATGCACGGGGATGCTGCATGCACACAGGCAGGCATGCCAAATCCTTGCCAGATGTCTGAGCTGTTGTTTGGAGCACGCTCTGTGCTGAATTCTTGTAGGCACTGTCATGAGCTGGCAGCAAAGTGCCTGCATCTCTCTGCTCCGTGGCTCTGTTGTTTGTGCATGGTGCTGGGAAGGAAAGCGTGGATCCCTGAGGTACTTCCAACTGGGGTGTCCCAGTCCCAAAAAGGTGTTGTGTGGGACAGCTGGAGCTGCAGAATGTACTGCTGATGTTTATGGAATTGTGTGACAACGTTCCAACACTCCTGATGAGCCAGGAGCAGCGATGGGGCAATGTGAAATGATTGTGAAAACTCTTCTGATCCCAACTTCTGTGTTTTTCCATTGATTTGCAGTGAGGTTGCATCGCTGACAGAAGCAGCAGCAGTGCTCTCCTGCAGCAGCCACCTTGGGGGCTGTTAGAGGATGGGATGATGGTTTTGACGTTGCCCTTGCTTCTCAAAAACAAGGAGAGCAAAGCTTTGCATTTTAGTTCACTCCTCGTGGGTTTGCAGTAGTAAATGCATAAGGGGTCCATGTGGTTTCGCACCCAGCTCATTGCAGCTGATACCAGGCTGAGCTGATACCAGGAGTTCCCCTTGCACCAGGTCTGTGTGCTCCTGTCCCCTGCTGCTGAGGTATCCGTGTTCAGCTCAGCTTGTGGCTGGATGTCATCTGCTTGTGCTCTATGCTGTGATGCTGTAACTTTGCTCTCCTTCTTTTCCATTATGGTTCGGCTGCTCCGTGACTCTGCCTTGACACTTCCCCACCATTGAGATGAAAGTCCTCGTGGCTGACTGCAGGCTTCCATCAGCAAAGCAGTCTGAGGATGTGAATGAGCACGCTGCTGCTTGGAAACCCTGTGTATTCTTCACATTTTAACACTTCTTTGTAGCAATTCTGCATTGCAGAGCTCACATAAGGGTGTTGGGACACGATGTGTTGCGAGAATCACAGCTGCTAACTGCTCTGTCTTGCACCAACTCCGCCAATCACTTAAAATAACTTGTGCACAAAAATCCCTCTTGTGCTCAGTTGCTGATCTGCTGGGAAAGGCCAACTGCTGCTGCGTGGGCATGGCTTGGGCAGAACGTGTGAGCATGCAGTGCACAGGTCAGCACCAGGATGAGGGCATCCCACCTATCCATGCAGGCAGCACTGCCCCTCACTACGCTTTACAGGTGTAAAGAGAGGACCTCACCTGTGTGTTCTGGTGTTGGATCCCACACTTCCTCCCAAAGCCTGAATGCACAGAGTGGTGAAATGGTTCTATGGTGCTTTGTTAATCTGTGCGGTAACGGCGCAGTACTCAGTTTAGGAAGAGGCACTGCAATGCCTCTGTGAGCAGCAGCCAGATCTAGGAGTTATTTGTGCCGTTAGTGAGGGGTTTAATAGCTTAATCCATCTGGAAAGCAAGGAGATTGATTGGGCTGTACGATGAATGGGCTGATAATTAGCACAGCAGTCCCTCCGAACCACGCACCCTGGTAAGGCAGTGTGGCACACAGCAGGCACTGAGCTGGAGTTCTTAGCAGTGCACTATGGCACGTTTACTGGAAGAACAAAGGCACCTTGGCAGTGCTCTGATGGGTGAGTGCTGTTTCAGGTTCAGGAAAGCGGCCAGGCCAAGGCACACAGAGCAGTTGTGCAAAGAAATGCCCCTGAGTGCATTGCTGGCAGTGCGGGTGGATGCCAGCCTGCCATCCTCAGCACTCATCTGTTTCCTTGGTGTGCACTTCAGATTGCAATTACACTTTGGAGCTGCAGTTGATTTTCAGGTAGTACGGGCTGATAAATGCCCTTCAAAGCGTGCAGTGTCTGCAGGGTTTGAGAAGGAAGACCTGTGCTTGCTGTATGGGATGAGAAACATGAGTATATTTGGATGCTTTGGGATTGTGCTGCAGATTTTTGTGCCAACAGCACCCCCAAAAAAGCACGATCAAAAAAGCTCTGCCACCACCACTGACAAACAGAGCCCTATAATGAGTGCATCTGACGCTGAAATGAGATGCAAATCTCCATTTCTACCAGAGGGTCACTTGGGTGTCTGTAGGTGCTGTGCCTTTTTCAAGAGCTGTTGCACAGCAGTAGGCATTTCTCCTGGTGCTTCATGGGTGTGTGGGTATGGATGAAGCTCTGTAAGGTTCTCGGTGCACTGGGAAGCTGTGGGGTGGTCTTGTGGCTGCAGTTTCTGTATGTTAGATCCTTCCTGCCCAGCAATCCAGTGAGGATTATACAGCAGATCTGTGTTGAAGAGCCAGTGGAGGGGCAGAGCCGTTAGAAGTTGGAGCCTTTCATCCCATTTTGAGACAGAAGAAGGCTTTAGCAAAAGGTGAGAAGGTTTGATAGAATGGTTTTCCACAGTTACTAAAAACAAGGCCTGAGTTCTTTATTATTATTATTTTTTTGTTATGTAACACCAGCATTTCATTGCAGGAAATGGAAAAGCAGGCTGAGCCACGTGCGTGGCCAGGTACGCCTTTAGGTCAGGGCACATATTGAAGTTCTGCTCTTCTCTTCTTTAAACATGGGGTTGAACGTGTGCGCAGAACTGCCAATCTGAGGCGTTTTTTCTCTCTGTTCTCAGCAGCTCAGTGTGGCACACAGGCTTCAAAGTCAGGCGGTGCCTTATCGCAGTGCAGCAGGAACCCAGCTCCTTGCTGGGAGCAGCGCTGTGTGTCCCAGAGCTCTGCAGCTCAGTCCCTTCTGATCCTTGTTTGAGCACGGAGAGTTTCCATGGGAGTGCCCTAAACTGCTGCCAGCGCCGTGGGTTGGGGAAGTAAGTCGCCTTGGGGTTTGTTTTTCTGAGTCTTCCTCAGCTCCTGTGGGGCTGGGCTGTGTGCTCAAGGCTCGTTGGTCCTGGTTGCTAAATGCTGTCTGTACAGCATGAGCAGAAATAGAAGTGAGGGCTGCGTGCCTGCCTGCCCTTGGCACACCCAGCCTTCCCACAGGAGCTTTGTGCAGGAGGAGGAATTGTGCTTTGCAATGTGGGGTAGTGGAAAGGAGACCTTCCTGCTGGAAATAAGAAGTCATTTTCTCTCCCCTTGGAAAATAAGATAGGTGCACGAAGTGCGTGTCTGTCTGCCTGCTTGTGCAGAGCAGGGTTAAAGCCATTCCTGCTCACCGTGTGAGCCATGCAGATGAGCAGAGGTGTTTTGGGGTGGGACAGAATGCAAGAAAAGACCTCTTAAAACACCTTGTGTTCCATAGGGCTGATTGCTTGGGAAAAGTCCAGCAACAAAAAGCGAGCAGGCAGCACAGGAATGAGAGGGATGTCTGCTTTCCAGGGAAGCACAGCTTCTCTGCTCCGGTTTACAGGGGCTTATTGCCAGCAGCCTGCGATGCCCGGGGCTGTGGGCACCCCCATCTCTTACCAAGGATTAAAAGGTCCCTTCAGTAAATCCAGGGCTTCCCGCAGGAACTCCATTTTATCCTTATTGTGCCAGGAATTATTATTCTGCTTTAGGTGCCATTCTTCTATTTGCTTCCTTTCTTCTTCCAGGACGGCTCAGCCCAGCACAGGAGCCGTCCTGTTTGGTGGATGTATGGGGCTCTGTGCAGAGCAGTGATGATAGAGGAAAGGCATCCGAGCTGCCGGGCTGGAAATTTGGCTCTGGTGTCTTGGAATTTTCCAAAAGAAACAGTCCTCATCGTGTTTTCAACCCTAAAACTCTCCAGGAAGGAATGAAATGCCAATGGTGAGAGAAGAGTTCAAGGAGAGGCTCTGATGGGCGCACAGCTGGGAATGCTGATGGCGCATGTGCAGCATGGGATGCCAAAGTTTGTCCTTCCTGCAGGCAGCAGTCACAAAGCCACAGCAAAATGCAAAATGCAGTCAGTTTGTTTGTTTAGCCCGGTGGTTCTTGATGTCAACCCACCTTTGTAGCAGCAAATGGGAGAAAACAGCTCCCCCCCCATGCCTTGAAATGCTTTCCCAACCTGTGCTCATCCAATCCTTTAAGTATCATCTGATGAAATGCTTTTCATAAGAGCACCGAGGGAATAGGCCCATTTAACACAGCCCCTCTGCAGCTTTAAATTGCCTCTTTCTCTCATGGAAATTCTGAATTCTGTCTTCCACAGCTGGATAAAGAAATCCATCTCTCCATGTACCACACAGTCAGCCTTTCTCCTGCACTGGCAGCTCTGGATGTTCCAGTGCCTGGCGAAATTTCATGCAGTGAAAACTCTACTTTTCTTCCTGAGTCCTCTTCAGCTCATCTGTAGCTCATAAAAGCTCAGTATCACTGCAGCTCACACTGTGCTGGAGCTGAGCATCAGCATCTCCCATTCGGGGTCCCAAAAGCTGCTGCATGCCCCATCCCTCTGCCTTTCTTTGGTTGGGGTTTTGCTCGTGTGCTTCCAGAGCAGAACCGAGCTGAGCTAAAAGGGCTTTGAGGCAGCATGGCCAGGGACTGTGCACAGCTGGGGGAAAACACATGGGGCTGTTTGAAAACAGTCATGCACGTGGGGTAGTGGGTGTGGGAAGAGTGTGGTGGTGATGTTCCCCATCCCTTTGCCCATCCCCAGCTAATCCAGATGAGTTAATTAATGTTGAGTTTTCTAGCTAGGAGTCAGAAATGTTATTCGCTCTTTAAAGAGTGAATTATCCCCGTGTGTAAGAAGAGCAGAACGTGTTTGTTGAGGTCATCCCAAAAGCATCATCACTGAAAACCATCTGCTGATGCAGAAAATTGGATTTATTCTTATGCCAGAGTTTCCATAAAAATACAATTACATATAAATTTATGCTCTCTAAAAGCTTACAGCAAGCCAGGCTTTTGGCAAATAAGACACTTCTCTTTTCAAGTCCGGTTTTAACTGACCAGATGGTGCTTACAGTGCAGGAGCATAAGACTGGTGGGAGATAATTGATTGTTTCCATTTGAAAATAATAATAATTTTTTTTTTTTTTTTTTTAAAAAAAGGTGATTTTTAGCTGTGTGAACTCCAGACTGGTTGTGGGGCTGTTCCATTGGGAATCCTCTCGTTGCTGTGGGCACGGTGGTGGTTTTTCCATCTGAACGGTGAAGGTTTGTGGTGATGCTGTGATGGCTGCTCAGCCTCTCATTGGTGGTGAGAGCGTGGAATGGCACAGTCCTGGATGTGCAACACAGTGTGGGGGACAAGAGGAAAGTCTCCTCCGCTGGAGGCTTTAAAGGCAAGGCTGGATCAGGCCCCGGGCAGCCTGATGTAGCTGTGCTGTCTGTGTGCATTGCAGCGAGTTGGACTGGATGGCCTTCAGAGGTCCATTCCAACTGCAAGGATTTTATGGTTCTAAGTGGCTGAGTGATGCCTGCAGAGAGGGGCCTTGGGGTAAACTCAGCAGGGAGGAAGTTAAGAAGGGTTCTGCACCTGATGGTGGTGCGTACAGCCCTGCACTGCTGGAGCTCAGGGAGCATTGGGGCACTGCTGTTGGGACAGCTGAGTTTACCTTGGTTTAATTCCTAGATTGCCCTGCGTGGAGTCAAGAATTGGATTTGGCATTCCTCATGGGTCCATTCCAACACAGGGTATTCTGTGATTATTTCTTTTTAAATTTGATCAAGCGTTGGAATGGACTGCTTAGGGAAGTGCTGGAGTCCCCATCCCTGGCGATATTCGGGAGCCGTGGCACCAAGGGATGGGTGGCTGGACTCAGAACATCCAACTGTGCATCAAGCTCAGAAATAAAACCCCCCAATTATCCATTAAGCAAGCAAACGAAAGCAAGAAATGCAATGGTTGGACTCGAGGACCTCGAAGGTCTTTCCCAACCTCGTGGTTGTGTCAGTAGTTCCAGCACCAAGCCCGCTCGGCTGCGCTCCCTGAACGCCTCTCCCTTTGTTTTGCAGGTATGGTGTGAATATGCGTTGCTTGGCAGCTCGGGTCAACTACAAGACTCTGATCATCATCTGCGCTCTCTTCACGCTGGTGACGGTGCTGCTGTGGAACAGATGCTCCTCGGATGGGGCCGGCCCATTCCCCCGCAGCCCCGGTGGCCCTGAGCGCCGCGCGGCCGCTGCCAGCAGTGGCCCCGCACGGGATGTGGCCAAGCAGAGCGAGGAAGCATCGCCCCAGGAACAGCAGAAGGCTCCTCCGGTCGTGGGAGGCTTCAACAAAGCCCCGGGGCTGAAGTATGAAGAGATAGACTGTCTGATCAACGACGAGCACACCATCAAAGGGAGGAGGGAAGGCAGCGAGGTCTTCCTGCCGTTCAGCTGGGTAGAGAAATACTTTGAGGTTTATGGGAAAATTGCTCAGTACGATGGTTATGACAGGTTTGAATTCTCTCATAGCTACTCCAAAGTATACACACAGAGAGCACCTTACCACCCGGATGGGGTCTTTATGTCCTTCGAGGGCTACAACGTAGAGGTTCGAGACAGAGTGAAGTGCATAAGTGGTGTTGAAGGTTTGTGCTCCACGTTTTCCTTTTCGGTTGAAATGCTTCTTGAAATTTGCTGTTGTCATTTGAGATGCAAAGCGCTCCTAATTTTGTCACGACAGCGTGGATGAAAATGCATTGGGGATCAAGAAATGTGGTGCAGTCTGCAGCATCACATCGACTTGTATTTTGAGGTTAATTTGTCTTTTTCACTTGGGCATCAGCCAAACAAGCGCTTCTGGTTCAAGATCCTTTGTCCAAACGCCAAATGGGTTTCGGAGAAGGGAAAAGGACTGCTTTGGATAGGGGTAACATACGGTGGTGATTAAGCTGGGTTGTTAAAAGGGCTGACATCTCTCAGCTCAAGTTGTGAACTTTGCTTACACTTGTTTTTGTGGCGTGATGATGTGTGCTGGGAGCAGGGTGTAGGCAGAGCTCTCCTGGAACACCTTCATTACCAAAGGTGTGAGCACATCCCAGTAGCGACGTGTCCTCTGTGTGCAGAAGGCTGGGGAGAGGGGTTCCTTTCCTCTCGTTGCAGTAATTGCTGACTGAATACAGCTTAGGGAACAGGCACATTTCACACCTGACTGGTTATTCCTCTATTGGCCTCCCTTTTTTTGCAGCAAGTGCTTTAAGAGCCATCCTTGTGCCAGAGCCTGGCTATTGTAAAGGAATAGTTAGCAGCCAGCAAACAGGGCTGAGAAATGCTTGTAGAGGAAGAGTTTGAATACTAAAACACTCAGCCAGGTTTAGCTCTTGCCACGCATGCTTCCAGCCCTGGTAACGCTCACGTTGTTGCGTGATGAAAACCTCGTGCTGTATTTTCACCTTCTCCCTTTCTGCAAGGTTAATGCGTTGTTACGTCCTATGACCTGGAGAATTTAATCTTGTCATCTTGTATGAATTTCAAGTCAAGCTCTTCCAGCACGTTTCTTTTTTTCTTTTGCATCTTTCAGTCTCAACGAGTGCACCCTTTAACTGCAGATGCTTAGCACTAATGAGCTGGCTTCCAGGAGCAGCGATAGCACACGAGACTCAAATATTTCCTCTGGATGGTTTTCTCTTCAGGCAGCAGTAAACCATCACATCCCCATCGATGATATTTATTAGGAACGTGAAGCACAGAAATATGCATGAAAATGTACCTTTTCCCATTGAGTTTAAGCAATATTTTCACTGCAGTATTAGTTTCTGAGCTTGACATTGCCAAAGGGGAGAGTGGTGCGAATGCCAACTTGTTTATTTGCATCTTCCTTTTTCTCTTCTTACGTGCACATGAAAGCTTGCAGTGCTAAACGTGCTGCAAGGGGGTCACGGTGCTGTATTCCCACTTTGGATTCTTACATTGCAATTGGGAATTTGCCCCAAACAAAACGTAGGGCTTTGGGGAATCCTGCTTTCCTCCATTCTATCCTAAGCAATGTGTGTTTGCCTTGTTCTGCACGTGTGTGGCTGGGTTAATTGGCACATCCCAGCAGAGGTAACGGGGGCAGCTCGGGGTTGGGAGGTTCCTCCTTTAGCACAAAGTGACTCAAACCACAGTCCAGCAATAACACAGCCATTGAACTTGAAAAGATGTATGCAGTGTCAAAGGGATTTGTTATATGGGATGTCGTGTGGGGGTTGGGGAGGAAAATCTGTTTTAAATGCATGTTAAAGTCAATATGATGCATCAGGATGCAGTTAGATGGGAGGACCACGATAAGGACTGCTCTGCCCTTCCCATCTGCTCAGTTCTGCCCCATTGCAGATCCCAGTGCCATTGGGGGCAGTTCAATGTGTGAGTGGACTTTCCTTGAGTCCAGCTGGTGGTGAAGCCTGTTAACCTTTGTGGTTGGACTTGATGGTCTTGAAGGTCTTTTCCAACCTGAGTTATTCTGTGATTCTCACGTCTGCCAGGAGTACATCGGTGGTGGGGAAGGAATGGGGAAGGCAGCGTGCAGCACTGCAAACACTGACATGTGAAACTGTGCCAATGAAACACTCACGTTGTTCCTCTCTCCTAGGTGTGCCCTTATCCACCCAGTGGGGGCCTCAGGGCTACTTCTATCCCATCCAGATCGCACAGTACGGGTTGAGTCACTACAGCAAAAACCTGACGGAGAAACCCCCGCACATCGAGGTGTACGAAACGGCTGAGGAGAAGGACAGGGGCAGCAGGGCAGCCGAGTGGACCGTGCCCAAGGGCTGCTCCCTTTCCACAGTGCCCGATAAAGCCAAGTTCACCAGTGTTAAACACTTTGTTGCTCCAGGTGGGTTATGGCAGACAGACGGTTGGCTCGCTCAGCAGAGGGCTCTCCTCCATTTCTTCCACTTTTGTTTGTATGGAGCAGCTTTCCATCTTTAAGGCCTTACCTGAAAACATCATTGAGTTGTGTATTTTATTGTTTATGCTGTTTTTTCTCTGTCACTGCTCTTTGAAACATCCTTATTTTAATTAAAAGACACGTGGGTATATTGGTATATATGGGTATATTACAGTGCAGCTCAGCAGAGCAGCTGTGCTCACATTTCCTGAGCCTGCTTGCTTCAGTCCCAGAATGGAAGCAAAGCACTCCAGCCTGCAGTGCTGGAGCATAATGCAAGAGCTGGTATGTGAAGCTGGGTATGATGTGAGATGGCAGAGAGGGGCAGTTTTCATCCCGAGCAGATGTGCCATGCAGGACTGCTGCTGGGACCCTGCATCTCTTCATTGGGATGCCACTATTTTTGCAGTTTGAGGGCCATGCAGACCTCATTCTGGTTTAACCAGGTTGCCTTAATGAGGCAGCAAGAGGGAGTGCAGGCAGTTAGGGATGACTTCTTGTGCTCTTCGCCCTCTCTGAGTATAACTAAATCAGCTTCTGTGTTGCAGTGACCGTATGTAGGTGATGAATATTTTCCCAAGGGAGGAAAGGAAAACCCCCTAATGGGCAGATGGGCAACAAAAGCCCCCCAACAGCTCCCAGTGTTGGTGGCGTTGCCAGGCTGCAGTGCCACTGCCACCAACCAGGCCCTGGGAGGTGGCCCACCACATCCCCATAGCCTTGGCTCTATGGGGCTGTGTGTGGGCTCTCACTGCCCATTGCACACCACATGCCTGCTGTTACCTGCTTGACTTTCCCCTGTTCTGCTTCGTCCTGAGCTGAGGTTTATTCTGAGAAGTGGATTATTTCATGCAGGAGTTTCCTTTGTGCTCAGACAGGTTCGTTGATAAGGACGTAATGTGTTTTTCCTCAATCAATACCCATTAGAATTAATGAGTCCATTACTTACAAAGACAATGAAGTAATTTGCAGTTGGCACCTTAGACTCAGGCCTCTGGGGAAAAGCTGCCGAACACTCTCGTGTCTTTGTAGTAGAGAAATACAGGGAGAGAGAAGGCTGAAAGAGCTGCTGTGTGTTCTGTCCTCATCCTTTATTGATGGCAGAGTGATGTGCAGGGCTGAAGGCTGCAGTCTGCATCCACTCTCTGAGATGGCTGTAAGTAATGGCTTTAGAGGCGCTGATGGCTGTGGAAAGAACACGCAGCCTTTAGGTTTCCTTCTTAAAGCTCCTTTTCCCATTATAGTTCACTTTGTTGTGGCACCAGAAGTTATTTACATGGAACTGTGCACAGCACAGCGGTACCTACGGTGCATGGTGCAGAAGTGCCCATGATATGAAATGCACTGGGAGTGGTTGGAGATGGGGAAGCCATTGCTGGTGGCCACAGCCCTCTGTTTGCTCATGATGGGATATTTTACGTGTCAGGAGGTAGAAGAATGGAAACAGTGGTCTTCCACAGGAGGGTTTTATACTATGGAAAGCTGTTAATTTAAAACATCTGCCTTTTAAGTGTTGGTCAGCCTCAAAGCTGTGGCATTTGCACGTGGCATTACAGACACATTAGCTGCATTAGGTGCTATTGCATTAGGTGCCACCACCTGGGAGCTGTACTTATTGTTGTGTTTTAAACTGAACTGAATTTTGCCAACTGAGAGGTTAGTAAGTACTTCTAATATGTTCTTCTTTCTGTGTTCCATGGGGCTGTAGCACTGAGGGACGTGGGCAGGGGGCGTAGTGGGGTGGGTTGGGGTTGGGGATCTCAGAGGGCGTTTCCAACCGTCACGATTCTGTGGTTGTACTAAATGATAAGATCTGTTTGTGACCGTATTTCTTAAGGTCGTACCCTACCCCAAATTCCTGGCCTGCGTCCTCCCAGCATCACCTGGAGGCGCAGTGGAATCCCCCCTGACTCTCCTTGCCTCTGCTTTCCTCTGCCCCAATCCTGGATTCCCAGCAGCGGCTGCCTGGGCTGCGTGCTGAGCCCCCGGCACGCTCAGTGACTGTGGGTTGCTCCCCGCCGCAGCCATCGCTCACGGCTTTACTTTTATGCTTAATTAAATAATACATGTACAGAAAGCAGAGGCTGTTTGAATTATTGATCAGCTCGCCTAAAAGCATTTGAGTTTTGTCTGGTTACCTCCAGACGCCGCGCTCTGTATCTTTGATATCTTTAAAGAAATGAGCTCTTTCCCACCGAACGGTTGTTTATATGTTTTGCAGAGAACACCGAGGGGGTTTCCCTGCAGCTCGGGAACACCAGAGATTTCATTATTTCTTTCGATCTCAAGTTCGTAACCAACGGGAGCATTTCTGTGGTGCTGGAGACCACAGAGAAGAACCAGCTCTTCACGGTGCACTACGTCTCCAACACACAGCTCATCGCCTTCAGGGAGCGCGACATCTTCTACGGCATCGGGGCCCGCACCGCCTGGAGCACCGTCACGCGGGACCTGGTGACCGACCTGCGCAAGGGCGTGGGGCTGTCCAACACCAAGGCCGTCAAGCAGACCAAAATAATGCCTAAGAAGGTGGTGAGGCTGATTGCGAAGGGGAGGGGATTCCTCGACAACGTCACCATCTCGGCCACCGCACACATGGCGGCTTTCTTCGCGGCGAGCAACTGGCTGGTGAGGAACCAGGACGAGCGGGGCGGCTGGCCCATCATGGTGACCAGGAAGCTTGGGGAAGGCTTCAGGTCCTTGGACCCGGGCTGGTACTCGGCCATGGCGCAGGGCCAGGCCATCTCCACGCTGGTGCGGGCCTACCTGCTGACCAAGGAGCACGCCTTCCTCAGCGCCGCACTGCGGGCCACTGCGCCCTACAAGCTGCCGTCAGAGCAGCACGGGGTGAAGGCTGTGTTCATGAACAGGCACGACTGGTACGAGGAGTACCCCACCTCGCCCAGCTCCTTTGTGCTCAACGGCTTCATGTACTCGCTCATTGGCCTCTACGACCTGAAGGAGACCGCGGGGGAGAAGCTGGGCAAGGAGGCACGGCTGCTGTATGAGCGTGGCATGGAGTCCCTGAAGGCCATGCTGCCTCTCTACGACACCGGCTCCGGGACCATCTACGACCTGCGGCACTTCATGCTGGGCACCGCTCCCAACCTGGCGCGCTGGGACTACCACACCACCCACATCAACCAGCTCCAGCTGCTCAGCACCATCGATGAGGCCCCGATTTTTAAAGAGTTTGTCAGGAGGTGGAAGAGCTACCTGCGGGGCGGCAGGGCAAAGCACAACTAGAGCTGACAACCAAAGCCCTCGTGCCCGCTGGCGGCGAAGGTTCGGGCTTCTGGAGCTCGGCGAGGGGACACCTGAAAAGGTCGCATCCTAAATTCGTTTTGAAGAAGTGATCCTTAAAACTGATCTCCTGAAATAATTGCATTCCAGTGTGAAAACCTTTGGGTCTGATGGGCAGGAATCGGGGACTTCAGCTCGCTCTCTATAGCACTCCACCGTGACGTTACCCGCACGAAGCAAAACCCATCTGTGCTCTGAGCTGGGGGACGATTTTGTTTTTGCTTTTTGCAGAAAGAAATTTACGGAAGCCATACAGGTCTCTAAAGTCCAGCACTTGCCTGACAAGTTAGTATGTGGCCTCTTTGGAAATGGAGCTATTTGTGTATATGTTGGAACAGCGTCGCCGGTGGTGTGGTGTAATGCTGTAAACGTGTGTTTCCTTGTAGCCTGGGTAGTGGACAGCGTAGCTTTTTCAAGGTGTTCCTTTCTGTATGGATTCCCTCCCTGGGGTGACCGGCCTTTTTTATTCTCTGTCTGGAGGTCCTGTAGCCGTATGGCTTTGCGTCGCACCACGTAAGCACAAGTTGGTGGCTCACGGATGGCCCAGCGCTGCGGCTGCACCAGCCCTGACCCGGGAGCCAGGCACACGTGGGGTGCTGGCAGCTGGCAGCACTTCCCCCCCAGCAGCTGGAGTCTCTTCTCGTGGAGCCCGATGTTCTGTTCTGTATTTTTTCATCACATCTGACAGGTTTCTGTAAGCGTTGGCTTGGTTCTGTAGGAGACCCGTGTTGAATTCCTGTGTGGCGTGGAGCTGGTTTTGAGTAGCGTGCAGGAAATGTAATTTGGGCACTGTCCTATGGGGGTTTTCGTTTTTTAACCTGCTTTCCCAAGATCCAGCACTTGAAAAATGACAATCAGCCCATAGGGCTCTGCAGCTCCGTCTGTGCTTTAGCACTGCTTGGCCTTTGCTGCCCGACACCAGTCATCAAACAGAACTCCAGCACTTCCACTGTGCTGGCAGCACGCAGAGGAGCAGATGGTCTGCATCTCGCCTTTGTGAGCCCATACCCACACCACGGGTCTGCCTTCACAGTGTGGAGGTTTCTGGTGGATCTGGAAGGGTAAAAGCGATGGCATCATCGGATGGCAATGGTGTGGTTTGGTAGCACAGCAAGCACCAGCTCGTCAGCTCTGTGCAGGCTTGCTGGGCTTTGCTCTCCCATCCCATCCAGGCACGAAAGCTCCCAACACGTCCTGGCGTGCTGTGATCATGTATGGCTGCGGGGCTTTTCCACTGATCCCATGACATGCTGCAGGTGTCGGTGTGCTTTGGCTTAAGGTGCTCCTACAGAGGACAGAGCTGCTTCAGGCTGCAGAGAGGCTGGGCACGAGGACTGCGTGCATCTTGGCTTTTGTTTGCTTTTCTTGCTTTTTCAGTGCTTTTTTCTTGCAGATATTTGAAGCGACTTTGTAATTACTTGATCTCTGCAAACGCGTGCTGTGTGATCGTACCAGCTAATGTGAAAAGCAGACATCGCGGGAGAAATCTCGATACCAAAGTTAGCAGAGCTGATTTCTATTTTTAGTGTTGTTGTTTTTGTGTTTTTTGTTATTTTTTTTAACACGTGTGCACAGAGAAAACAACCCAAACGACGTGCTTCCTTCCAGCGACGGTCCTCGCTGCAAGCAGAGCATCTCCCCCTGTGCATCCCCTCCGGTTTTTGCCCGTTTTGGATTTGGGGAAGCGAGAGACACTTCCAGGGCGCTGCTCTGCAGCGGTGCCGGTGCCTTACCGAGGCCACCGTGCCCTCTTTTTTATTATTATTTAATTGCTTTCTTCTTGTTTTTCAATATCGGGTTGATAATGGCAGTGATGGTTGTGTTGGGGTGGGTCGGCCACGGAGCGTTGGTGGCAACGCCGCCGCTCTGGGCAACGCCGTGTCCTTAATACCCGCGCTGCGTTCCTGTTGGCCGTGGCACTTGTGTCACTTCATCCCACCGCCCCCAGGGGCCGTGGGGCCACAGGGATTCGGTGTGAGGGCTCCTCTTGGGGTCGTGTTTTCCATACAGAGCTGGGAGGGAATGGTGGGACGTGGGCGCCCATCGCTTGACTGAAGTCAGTCGCTTTGATCCCTGCGCTTTCCCGGTGGTCAACATGAGGAAGGTCCTGGGGACTCAGATCAGCTCGACGTCCCCATGATGCTCGCTGTGCACAGAGCCGACTGGAGGCGTGCTGCATGGCACACCAGTGACACACAAGCACAACCGTCCGCGTGTGGCCGTGCTGTTTTCTCAGCCATTGTGCAAGACATTCACCAAAAGCTGCTATTTCCCTTCACCTTGTAATTGTACTTTATTTTTTCTACATTTTTACATGTGGGGTATACACGCCATGTGTTAAATATGCAATAAATTGTTTACAGGATGCTCTTGTAAAGGGTGGTCCTTTGTAAAGCTGTACAGACTTTGCAGTTTAAGCACAATGTGCACATGTTAGTTTTATATACGGCGAGACGTGACTTTTTGCAGAGGGAAAGGTTCTACTATGTTTATATACAAAGTAAATGGATCAATGTTTGTGCTTCATGTAAAGCTGCTTTATAAGATTGTAAAATAAATTTCTTTTTTTTTTTATCTTAAGGTAAACACTGAGTGCTTGTGTTATTTTGGTCAGTATCTTTCCCCCCTCCCTATGGCTGCAGCTCATTGAGGCTGGAAGTGCACGTCCAGTGCATCACCAGCCATCAACCCGCCATCCTGATGGCCTTTGAGGCATCTCCTCGTAGGGAATTTGGAAGGGTTTTGACTCAAAAATGAGTTTTACTCCAGCAGTCCCGATGTGCAACCTGTCACCATGATTCATTCCCCAAAAGCATAGCTGGAGTCCTGGAAAGGCACAGAGCGGAGCTGCTGGGGTCCCCTCCTGTGGGCATGGGGGAAATCAGAGATTTCCCTTTCTTTGCACTTTCTTTGCATGGGAAAATGGAGGAGGACTTACATATGTTGTCTTGGTGCTGGGTCTGAATGTTTGCTGCTCAGTTTGTTGTGAAAGGAGATACATTTACCATCTGCTGAGGGCGACTGATGGCTCCCATGGATGTGCTGCACTTCCTGAATGCTGAACAGCAGTGTCTGCGCTCTGCTCATCTCCTGCATGGGAAGGAGCCGTTTGGGTGCCAAGCTGTGCATTGCTCTGTGTCCAATGAAGCTCACGTTTGTCATGGTGAAGTGCGAGGGCTCAAAGCCATCCTGAACACTCGCCATCAGGGCAGGGAGTGTTTTAGCAGCTCCTCTTGTTTCATGGCCTCAAAGCACTTTGCTGAATGGCTCTCAGGTGGTTTAGCTGAGGATGAGCTACAGGTGGCACCTGCTGTGGCACCTAGAACCGCATAGGAGTGCAATAATGGGAAAGCATCCCCTGTCCTGCACGCAGCCCCCATCCTGTGGGCCCATCACTGCCTTCTGATCCTCCCCCATCAGTGGGGCCATGGCTCTGAGCGTGTCCCCCTGCTCACCTATTGCCAACCTGGGCTGAAGCAGTGCCATGGCACTCACTTCTAAACCATCACAGAGCGGTGCTCTGTCACCCCATTGAGGAAATGCACGAGAGCCCCAATGCCCAGTGCGGTCTCTGTAGACAGAGGGCTCTAACAGAGTGCTTTCCTCACACCCTGGAATAGCACAGCAGGTGATGCAGGGCTGGCTTTCCTGCACCTGCACAATGCTTCTGCATCACCTTCCTCAGTGCTGGGGCTTCATCCTGCAGGGTAGGAGCCTGGTGGGTGCAGCACCTTGGGTTTTTTAATGGGAGAATCACAGCTGCTCTCCGACACTGGTGTGTCCAGCAGTCCTCCAGAACTGGGATCCGTGCAACCCAAGGCCCTGGGGATGCTCCTGGTGCCAGCACTGCCCCTGCTGCCTCCCAGCCCAGATACTGCAGGCACATGTGTGCAGGGAGCACCTAAACAGATTTGCTTCTGCAAAGCCCATTACCAGAGGGAAAATAACACAAAATCCAAATGGCATTGCTTGGCTGGGGAATGCTAACCCATTAATTTGATCATAAAGAGGCCTTCTTATGGAAATCCCCACTTTATCCTGAGTACCGGCACAGATTGGTGCAGATTGGATCCCATTAACCCCGAGCTGTGCTGCTGGATCTTTGTGTTTTCCCCTTCCAACAAGGCTCTGTTGGCAGAGGCAGCTGGTGAGGAGCTGCCACCTCCCCCTGCCCAGGGGCTGAGCTGCTCACAGAGCATTAACCATGGATGCAGAGCACCATAATGCTTTGAGCCCTCTGTGCATGGCAGGGCTGAGCCAGCTGTGCTGGGCACTGTGGCCAGAAGCCACTGAGGGTGAGGAGGGTGGGAGGAAGCGCTTCCCAATGCAGGGTGCCTTTGGCCCATAGGATGGGTTTTTAGGTTGGCACATCCCCAGCCTTCGTTCGCATCATTCTGCCCCATCCGTGGGCAAGATCCAGGTTTTGCAGGGCTGCAACTCAAGGCAGACCACGTTGATAAATTAAATGAGCATAATTAAACATGCAGGTTTGGGGCTGCATTAAATATTAACCACTTCTGCCTTGGCGCCTCCACAAGCAGTAGGTCTGCAAGGATTGGGAGCAGCGCATGGCTCCGCTCCTCCTTTGGCTGGCTTTGCCCTGAGATTTCAGGCCCTTCCCATGGTTGGCCTTTGCACCTACGATGGAATTTTGAGAGAGCCCACGGTCAGATTGTGGAATTCACGTAAAGAATTTAAACAGTGGAAAAAACCAAACTTGCTCAGAGCATCATCACCATCGTCTGCGTCAGGCTGGGATGCGCGGGATGGAGGAGCACCATTGCCCTGGGGGCCCTGGGCTGTGCAGGGCTGTGCAACCCCTGTGTGGGGTTGGGGCATTTCTGGAGGGGCTGCACAGCTGTGGGGGTGTGCACAGCTGGGAGGAGTCAGTGCGCATTGGGATTGTGCACAGCTGGGGTGGCTGTGCATCTCCAGAGGGCTTTGCTGTGTCACCACGTGCTCCGTCCACGTCCCTTGCTTTGTGACCCTTATCCTACACCTGCGCTGTGCAGCCCTGCATTTTTCCCACTGCAAATACCTTCTCCTGCTGGTTTGACTCAGCAAGCAGCAGCCCATGGTCAACGCGTGCTTGCAGCTCTTTCCAGATCCTCATGCTGTCCCGTGTGCGTGCCTGCATGTCAGCTCCATTCCTATTTAGCTGCAAACAATGTCACGAGGGTTGTGCCCTGAGCTCGTTCAACACCTTTTACAGCTGGGGGAGTTTCCACTGGTTTCCAACTGACCTCACCGGTTGCTGCTGGGAAGCTTTGCTGTGCTGTGGGTGTGGGGCCGGCACTATAAGGGGAGCTGCCAGGTTGTGGTGCTGGCAGGCAGCAGCTGCCGTGCAGGTGAGGGGTGAGTAGGAGCCGTCTGCATCCCCTTATAGGGCACAACGATGTCACCTCAGGGAGGGCATCGCCCAGATAAGCAGTCCCAATAGGTGACATGGCACAGGGCTGGGGGGCACCTCAGAGCAACAACTAGGAGATGGTGTGGAGAAGAAAAAAGGCAGAATTTTGCAGGAAATGGTTCAAAGTGCACCTGAGTGCCAACAGCACTTTGGGAACAGTGGCACCGGGCAGTGGGGTCAGCAGCAGCATCCCCTGGGAGCCGCACGGCTGGATGCAGGGGGGCACATCCAGCCCAGCCACCTTTGCATCCACCCTGTGCTCCCAAAGCAAACCCAGACGTTTTGTTTGGAGAGGAGGGATGGCTCACACGGCTCTGGGAAATGCTTTCATGCTGTCCGTGTTGGCTGGGCTGAACGGGTTGAGACGGGTTGAGAGCATTAATTCTCCCCGTGCTGTGTGAACGGTGCATTAGGTCTGGATGCAGTGCTGAGGGTAATGGCTGTGGGTATGTCCGCATGCCATTCCTTCGGCTCTTTACAGTAATGGCCACACAGTGCTCTCCAGTGACTCCCAGTCCTCTCTCTGTCGCTCTATAAGAATGCCGTGAGCTCCGCAGAGCTGCGTGCGGAACAGGGGTCGACGCAACACCAAGGGAGCGATGCGAGGACACCTCTGGGCAGCAGCACGTCCCTCCCTACACTGCGCTTTGCACTTTTCCAGTCTCCTTGGAGACAGTTGAGCAACTTTCTGCTCTTTTCCGGTGCTAGAGCGGCGGGGCCGGGAGCTGCGCGCGGGGAGCAGCCTGGCAGCGCGCATTTTTCCTGCTTCCTCCCAGCCTGGCTGAAGCCGATCGGAGCGCGATCCGACAGAGTTTGGCTGCGGCGATTTCCGGTGGTGTTTTGTTGTGGGTTTTGTTTTTTTCCCCCATTCCCTTCGCGCCCTTGGCTCCAACCCAACCGTGCGCGCTGACCTCCCCGCGTCCTTCCCGCGCCCAGCGGGATCCGTCCCCAGGCGGCCCCGTCCCGTCCCACCGTCCCCTCCCATGCAGCTCCATCGCTGGGCCATGTGGGCTCTGTTTGTACACAGATGAGCAACAGCTCGGCGCCAGCGCGGCATCGCCCAGCCCTGCGCCCGGCCGCTGTGTAAGTACGGCACGCTCGCTTCGCCCTGCTCTGCCGCTGCGCTTTGTGCTGCTATCCCAGGGGCTGCTGTGCTGCTGCGCTGCTGCTTTCCGGCTGTGCAAGGCCCGGGGATGTGTGGGTTTGTGCGTGGGGCAGATGGAACTCTTCTCTTGCTGGAGAAGTGCTGTGGGTACCCAGCTCGGTTTGGGTACCTCCGAGCTGCTTGTGCACCCAGCGGCGCCTGCACAGCAGCTCTATGGCTCAGCCGGTCCTGCTCCTGTGCTGCTCTAAGAAAGCTGTGAAAGTTAACAATTAACAGCTAAAATACCTTCCCCTTCATTGGCACGCACGGCTCCACGCACACACTGAGCCGACGCACCGGTGGGGACGCGTTGGGGCCGCGCATGGCCGTGGGGATGGGAAGAAAGAGGAGGAGGAGGAATAGCGGGAGGAGGAGGAGGAGGAGAAGGGTGTGTTTGCAGCACGCCTCCAGGCTTTGCAGCTTGCTGCCACAGAGGTCGCAGTTCAACGTATGTCCGTCCTTCCCACCAGGGTGATGTCCCCCATCCCTGCCCCACTGCCTGTGTCTCACCAAATGTGCCCTTGGAGCAGGAAGGAGTGGGGCTGCAGGGTGTGCCTGCTGCTCCCGCGGCCTCAGCCCAGTGACTCATTTTGCTCATAAAAACACAAACTGGTTGTTGCAGCTGGGGAGCTCCCTGCTGAGAGAGGCAGGGTCCCTCCAGCCGTCCCCAGGCGCTGCCCCCACCACGTCACCCACAGCCAACCCACTGTGTTTCCCCTTGGGAGCAGGAAGCTTTGCAGCCACCCATCATTTTCGGTTTGTTTCTCAGTTTGCTGAAGTCACTTTGTCATCCTGAGCACCCCTATGCCACTAAGAGAAGTTATGCATGCAGTGGGGCAATGCTTGTATTGCTGTTCCTTGCATTGGGCTGTTCCTTCTAGCCAGGCAAGGGGAGAAGATGCATGGATGCATGGGCAGGCGTCTCTGTCCCCATCCCTGTCCCCATTCCTGTCTCTCTCTCCATTCCTGCCCCTTCCCTCATCCTTATTGCCATCCCTATTTTGCACTCCTGCAAACCCAGCTGCTACCCCC